CTTCCAACACCGCCGCTCAGCGCCAGAGTCTCCAGGAGCTCCCCTGTCTGAGCCTGCCCACCCGGGGACCTTTACACAGCGGCGACCCTCTACCTCTGGCGAGCAACGACACCGCCCAGCGACCTTCTCACCGAGCCAGTGAACTCAACACCGGGCAGCCGGCGCACCTGCGGCAGGATCCCTGGGCCCCGACCGGCTCCCAGCATCATCATAATCAGCAGCAGCAGCAGCAGCCGCAGTCGGAGAAGGAGCCTATTTTTCCGAGCTGCCACTGCAGTTTTTCCGAACAGGAGGCGAGCTTTACTAAAAATCAGCACCATCCTGTCGATTCTCTCCCACCACCGCAGCCCTCCCCACCTTTTCCGCCGCCTATACCACCGCCACCGACCTCGTCCTCCTCCTCCCGGCTCTTTCCCCGGGCATCTAAAAGAGGGGATCGACTCCAAAGGAGTGCCAATAATTACTACCAACAGGCAAGCATCGTGGAACGCTGCAGGGGAGGAGGAGGAGCAGAAGGGCACCAAGACCACAGGCAGTTGTTGCAGCAGCAGCAGCAGCAGCAACAGCACAGTAATTCAAGACTCCAACAGAGGGACCCCTCCCCTGAAGGAATCCGTGCAAACTCGCTGAAAGGGCGCTCTTTAAATGTATGTGAGTCAAACGAGGCAAACCGGAGAGTATTTGAGTCTCAGACTCAGCAACTGCAGCAACAGCAACAGCAGCAACAGCAGCAGCAGCAACAACACATCCCACAATTGCGAGCGCAGCAACAGCTGCTGGTGGGAAGCAGTTTGCCTATCAACTACTGCGCCAGCGGCTCACAAGAGATATGTAGGACTCATCAGGCTCCACTGCTGCAACAGCAACAGCAACAGCAACATCAGCAGCAGCAGAGGCAGCAGCAGCAGCAGCAGCAACAAGGAGCTCTGGGTTTCTGTACCCAACGTCCGCAGCAGCAGCAGCAGCAGCAGCACTGTGAACAAAACCGCAATAAGAGTGACAGCATCGCCGCGCATGGCCAACCGCAGGCGCAGCCACACAGCGTAACCCCCCCGGTAACACAACAGGCGTACCCGGGCAACTCTTCTGCGACTGGCAGCAACAGTAAGAGCAACAGCAGCAGCAGCAGCAAATACAGCCCCAACTACGGCTCCAGCTATCACCTGTGGCCGGAGAGCCCGCATAAAGGCGAGGAGAGGATACGCATCGACCTCCATAAGGTAGAACTCATTTGTCTGATTCCACCAACGACAACCAGTTGTTGGGTTTTTTTATTTATTAGAAAAAAAGAAGTGACCACGCCTGTCATATGGTTTGACAGAGAATTAGCCTGTATGTGTCGGTGTGTGTGTTTGAGGTGATGCATGTGTGTGTGTGTGTGTGTGCTGGGCGCGCGTATGCTGTGTTGCGTGTATATGTAAAATGTTGTGTTTTTTTCATTCATTCTGTCTTCCGTATATATATATATATATATATAAACCAGGCACCTGCTGCAAATACACTCCAGCAGTGCGTGATATTCTCACCTAACCTTCCGTTTTGTTTCATCTGCTCTCACAAGTGCGCGCCCAGAGACGCGCGCACACACCTGTTCCATGTTGCAGTGTTGTTTCGGGGTGGGTGGCCCACTGAAATGGTTCTAATGACGTCTCCCGACAGCTGATCTGTAGAAACACAGCGAACCGCGGTTGTTTCGGTGACTGTCGGTGACAGTCAGACATCCGAAGTCACTTTCTGCAGCTGCGGTTCAACTGCTTTCACTCTCAGGGCCGTGTGTTCACGCCGGAATGCAAGGATTTTCACTATACAGGGGGGAAAAAAACCAGGTGAGGGCCTTTTCAGGCCTGTTCAGTCACATGGCAACAAGAAAAATTAGCAGGATAAGCGATCTGATTGGGTACGAGAGTCTAATCGAGAACGACATAATGTCAAACAAAGGTTGTGGAGGGGGTCATGTGATCCCAGAAAATATACCGTTATGTCGTTGGCTGAGGTGGTGAAGAGTGGAGGAAAGTGTCTGTGTCTGGAGAAAGTCATGAAGGAAACATGAGGGGAAGTCAAATATCAGCAGCACACAAACACACAACGTATATGACAGTGTGAAGTGTGTGTGTGTGTGTGAAGTCATCTCTGTGTGTGTGTGTCAGTGAAGCCCAGAAAAAAAAAAAAGAACTCAACTGGTGCTGAAAGTAACTCTGTTGCCATAGTACTCATTTTTCACTTCAGTCAACATCTGCCTAAACTGGTTATGGTTTCATTTTAAATATATGTACAGAAGAAATGTCTCTTCTGTCTGAATAAGTCAGGCCATTCAGCTTCCCTCCAAATTATATCATCATTTTAAAAAAAATTCTGGATTACGTTCTTTATAACAACATCATCTGATGCTATATATTCTTCTAAAAACAACCCCTAACATCCTAGGTGAGAATACACCCAGTGGACTACTTTAATGGACTACATTAAAGGATCATACCTTAAAGACTGATCATCACTACTGTGACACTGGTCTGAAGGTGAGCGTCCTGTTCCACAGGAAGCTTTGATGTGAAGGTGCGAAGCCTCTGAGTAGGAGAGAGTGCTTTTTAAAATGCTGCTGCTGTTTCCAGGGTTAGGCTTCTATAGGAGCAGCAAAGGTGAGCAAATCAAACCACCCTGACATGACGGTGTTGAACTGTCAGCAGAACAGCTGAGTTTTCCACTGGAGTTGTTGACAGTAAAACAGTGAAACACAGATCAGCTCTGGGAGGAGGAGGAGGAATGTTCATCACATGTAGATCCATCCATCCATCCATCTGTCCATCCATCCATCTGTCCATCCACACAATCAAAACTTTTCCAGTTCACTCATGGCTTTGAGTAGAGTCTACAATCACACCTGGACACTGCATCCATGCCGTACAGTAACTTCCTTTCGGAAAAAAAAAAGTTCCAGAAAAACAAAGTTACGTGTACCAGGGCTTAACCTCTTGCACGATAACACTGTATTCTGATTTGAAAACAACCACAACAACAACAACAACAACAACAACTGAAACAAACCCATGAAGGCTGAGGTCCAGTAAAGCAGCTCTACAGTACACAGAACTATGACCCTTTTTATATGAAGGGTAAAGTAAGATGAAAGTCTGGGGGAAATGAGCTGGAATATGTATACGCAGCTGTTTGCAGTCCAACTACCCTTTGACTTTTTGACCAAAGCACGGAGCGTAATCTCATTTCAATTATGGATCTGGAAATCTGAAAAAGTGAAGAAAAACAGTTCTGGGGACCCACTTGTTTGCTCACATCAAACCTCTTTTTTTCCCCACCAGCTCAGACGCAGCTCTGCCGAGTTTGCGATATGGTCAGAGCGGCTTATCAAATCATGGATATTTGTGGGACCGCACTTACGTCTTTTTGAGTTGCCGCTAATGAGTGGGCCCCTGGCCCTGATCTCATTTGAAGCCCTTTAAACAAAATACTTGTGACAGAACAAGCCTGATAAAGTGTATACGATTACAGCATCCCACAGCACGCCCTGAAACCCGATAGCTAGCCCACTGAACTGATGGCAGGTAGTACGATATTGTGTGCCGCCTCAGTGACATTGTGCTCGGGAAAAGTGCATCAGTGCATCCATTGTGATAGGCTGTGTAAGTACTCCAAAGCATGCCACTTAACTGCTGTGGTGAAACTCACTACAGGGACACAAACACGTCAGCAGTGGTGGATTCATGGGCCACTTTACATGGTTGATTAAAAATATATATACGTATATATATACTCAGTTAAAGATGAAAGAAAAGGAGATCCAGCCTTTAATTTGTCATTCTTTGTGCTGAAGATCAGGGGTTCCCAACCTTTGGTCCGGGGACCATCATTGGTCCCAGACATTCAGACTCTGATACTAACAGAATAAAGTCTAAACGATGGAGAACATAAGGTTGTGTGTGTCATTGCAGAATGGACGGCTTGAAAGGGGAGAATAGCTATTACAGTAAAGCCTTTCGTGCATCTCCTGCCAAGCAGTCGCTCGACACGCATATAATCACCCCATATGATCTGAGAAAGGTCAACACAGTATATATCACAGCGCCACCGGCAACCAACTTAGTGTCCCTCAGACTGTGTCTGCAGGATTTGGAACAGTCTGCGTTCCAGAGTTGAATTCTGTCCCTTTGTCGCGTGCGTACAGCAGAACGAAGGAAGTCTAAAACAACTATTTTTCTTGCTTTAATAGAGTGGAATATTTGCTGGTTTCACTTGATTCTCACTGCTTACTTTGTACCCTATGACTAATATCATTTTTTAAAAGTGTACCCAGCGCTGACACTGGTGGTTTTTTTTGCGCATTCCTCTTGTCCAAATGAAGGGAAATGTTAGGGAATTGTGCCGGCGGCTGGCTTTAGAAAAGACGTTTATCTTATCAGTGGTGTGTTTATGTTGGCTCTGTAATAACGCTGAGGTAACGCTGAATGCTGGAGATTGGAACAATTGATGTGGACAGATCTGCTTACAGCGTTATGATTTACAGGCGGGCCGCTGCCAGCAGCAACATTATGTTGATTTAAACTTTCTCTATCGGTCATCTCTCTGCTGTTGTTGCAGGGCCTCCGTTTGTTTTCCTCTCATTAGGCGACCATGTTTCCACTGCCTTTTGCGCTTCGGACCGTGAGGGCAGCCAACACCTTGAAAATAAACACACGCCGGCGAACAATTAAATGTCAGACCAGGGGCAGATCCCAGTCCGCAGCCTCAGATTGAGTCAAAGGGAGCCGATCTCTGATAATAACGCTGTCTGAAGAGTTTGGACTGCAGCTGATCACACACAGGCAGTAAGTATGAACACAGAGATCTTTTAATAATTCATCGCTGTTTTCCCTATTTTTTTTTGTTCGCTGTGTGTGAGTGCAAGTCTGAGCCCCTGCTCTGAAATAGACTGGTGTTACCATGTGTTGCTATGGAGAGATCCGCTTGGTATTTGGTATTTCTCTCTCTCTCTCTGTTTATCTCTCCCTCCATTTTCCCCCTTCTCTTGTTTTTTTTTCTTTCTATCACTCTTCCTTTCGTCCCTGCTCTGGGTTTGGTCAGGGAATCGTGGACAACAAGATTATCTTGTGGATTTATCATTCTTTCCTCACTTGCTTCTGACCCGCAGTGTGAACTCACAAACAGGTCCTTAAAATGTCACACACTCACACACTCACTCACACACACACACACACAGAGGTACAGCTTCCTGCAGCAGTGGTGATGCTTAGATGACTTCGTTATTTGCACACAGTAGCCAAACAGTTTGTAACCAGAACATTCTTTATAAAACAAAAACAAAACTGAATGCCTTCAACCACACGATCACATATGACAAATAAACACAGATTTTTCTCACCATCATGGAAACGCTATAACGTCGTGAGCCCAAATTCCACCTTAAAAAAAAAAAAAATTACTGACAGGTAACTGTGTTAACTGAACATTACTGAGAGAAGTTGGTTCAAATAAATGTTTGAGCCTGTTTTTGAAGCCATCCCCTGCTGGTCAGGACAAGTATTGCCACCATTGGCAACAGATATTTGTAGAAACAGTTAGTAGAATTTTAAATTAAAGCAGCATGTAAAGGAAAATAGAGGATGAAGCTTGTGGAGCGCCACCTTGTGCAGCCTGGTGTTAGTTACCTGCTCCCAGCTAACAGCTACTGCACATTCCTCCCCTTTTTCCTGGTGTATCAGTGGTCTATAATGCTATTATAGTTCATTTCATTATAGTTACTAATGGGATTAAAGAAAGAGTAAACACACACACACACACCCTCGCTCTCTCTCAGACAGACAGACACACACACAGAGTTGAGGTCAGCCCACCAGTAACCCCGACGCTCCTGTAACTGGTGTGTTCATTTGCTGTTCCAGTTAGTACCGTTCATTCACTATGCGTTTCATTTGAGTGATCCTGGACAAAGGCAGAGATGTATTGAATTACTTGCAGTCCAGTTGAATACAAAGTGCAGAAAGAAAGAACGTGTGTGTGCAGACGTTTTTGCGATCAGTGCGGTTTGTAAGTGGACGGTGGAGTCTCCGCTGACGTTCCTCTGTTCTAACGTAACCTGCATTCTTCTCCCCATAGTGTTGACAAGGGGCCACCGTGCTTCCTTAATAAATGGCTGCAGTTTTTAATGTTGTGATTCGGGCGAGCTCCAGCGTGAGACCACGAAGAGACAACAGTAATGGAGGACAGACTC